TGCAGGGGCAGAGACTGTCTCTTCTGCAGAAACTAGAGGACTGCCGCTTTCTTCCTGGGGATAAGAGGCGAGAGGACGGGGGGCTGCAGGTGTCACAGCTGTTTTTAGCTAAAAGGAGAAAGCTGAGATTTTGGGGGGTGTCATGTGGAGCCCAAAGAGGAAGGAGACCCTGTCTTGGGTGGTATCACTTGAGCTGCTGGGTGAAGCAGACCCTTGAGAACCCTGGATGTTTGGGTCCCATAAGCCCAAACACTACCTTGGTTGTATGAAGCAATTCATGTGGAATTTTCTTTACCTCGTAACACAGATGTCCCTGAGTGACACTCCATCTCCCTTAGCAGTGTCAAGGTGAGGAAGGGTAGGTCAAGGGGGGAGTTGGGAGGGCAGAGCCGAGAGCACCAAACACCCTGAGCATGTCACCGCTAGAAGTGTCCCCAGGTCACCAGGCTTCTGGAAGCACACCCCCCACTCCAGCGCATCTGACCCAGTCCTGTGGCCTCTGGATGGGTCTGGGGAAGGGTCAGATGGGGAGTTGGAGCTGAACCAGAGAAGGCCGTGGAGACACAGGGCAGGCGGCGGAAGGAGCTGAATTCTGTCCATGGTCAGACCTACATAAACGCATTCTCGCCTCGTCCTTGAAAGTGAAGGCGGGAATCACAGATTTCGAGTTTCAAGCCTGANCATTCTCGCCTCGTCCTTGAAAGTGAAGGCGGGAATCACAGATTTCGAGTTTCAAGCCTGACGTGCAGACATATGTCAAACAGAAGTGCAGACCACTCCCAATGAGAGGCTAAACATCTGCGCGTGGAAGGTGTCCCCTCCCCACGCAGCCCGTCTTCCATGGCTAAGCCCCAGTGGCCAGCAGGACACACTGTCACTGTGCTACACGAGACCTCAGCCTCCCTGCTGCCGGGGCGCAGGGACAAGGAGGTGTGTGCGTCCCTGCCAGGGACTCAGGGTGCACGCCCCCCTTGTGACTTCCTGCCACACGTCAGCTTCCCCCCCAAAACTGCAGGGACAGCAGGCTCATCCTGGACAGGGACGACCAGAGGGATTAATATCTCCATTGACTTCGCACTCAGATTTAAAGTAAGGGACCACTGCGTCACAAACGAGGGACTTACTAACCCGCAAACCTTCACCATTAGATTTTAGAAACCTGCGCTTCCTCCGAGGCCAGACAGCTGGGCCCACGGTGACAAGCCCTCCACAGCCCGTGCCACCAGCTCACCTGGAGTGAGACGAGATCTCACTGAGGTCGCCCAGGCTGCCCTCGGTGGCGCTGCCAGTGCAGACGGTGGCCGCGTAGCCATGCACGGTGTACATCTTGGCTGGCTCGTCGTCGGGCCCCACGTCGGTGGCGTCAGCCCACTGCTCGGCCCGGCTGTGGGTCAGGGACCTGCTGCCCGCCAGGTGCACGGGGCCCAGGACGGTGGCGGGCATGCAGGGGGCCGTGTCGATGCCGCTGTCGGTGGAGGCCCCTTTGACGTAGGTCAGCCCCAGCAGGTCGGACTCCATGAGGTCCCCCGAGCCGAAGTGCTTGTCATCGCTGTTGCTGGAGGTGTTGCTGGAGAGCGTGTTGCTGCTGGAGTGACTGGAGCAGCTCTTCTCCCCGATCTTGAGAGGAAAGAGAGGCAGGGTCGTCATGTGGGGCCTGTCCTGGCTGCTCCCACCCAGATCACAGCGCTCCAGGCCGGGGACCTCGCCCGACCCCTCGCCGCTCACTCTTTGGTGTGGACAGGATGGGGTGTCCCTTCTCAAAAACATATTGGTTTTGTGCCGAAGTCCCTGATCCGTAATTCTCCCCATATGGGCATCTTTTCTAAGTCTCTGCTCAATTATTAGTGAGTAAAGCACATCAGTATGGCCCTGCTGTCACCGACAAGACAGTAACTGACACAGGTTATAGAAACTGGGAAGGAACATGGAAAATTAATAAATGGAAGAGAGCAGCCATTTATCAAGAAGATGCTTCTGTGACAATTACAGTGTGGCCCTGAGTCTGGGGCAGAAGACCCAGCTTTGAGTTGCAATGGTAGGAGTTTTGGGGGTCACCTGCCCTCTCCGAACTCACAAGAGTCCTGTGGACTAATTGGACAAGGCAGGTGGCAGCTGAAGACCACAACATAAACGGGCGCTGTCTCTCCAAGAGAGCCCAAGTCCGGTCATCCTCAGCGTCACAGACACGGGGCTCTCTTCAGAGCGAACAGGTCTGAAAGGGAGTCATTGCTCTGGGGTCTTTGCAAGACAAAAGGCAAATGGAACAGAAGAAATGTCCCTGTCTGCCCAATGTGCTCAACAGACACGGTCCCTCTTGCTAGCTGGGAAAACCGACAGGACCTGAAGTAGCAGCTACGGGCTTGGGGATCATGGGCACAGGCCATGCCCTGGTCGACTCTGAAGTGGTCTGGCCTTTTCTTATTTCACTCCATCCTATCCGATTCTCAAGCAAATCTCTTTGATCTTTTCATCACACATGGGTACCCTCAAGCCTCTGCCCACGTCCTGCCTCGCTTGGCTGAGACCATTGTGACAGCACCACCAAGGTGGATTTAAGTGGATTCGAGACAAGGTCTCGGCCACAGCTCAGGGAGTAAAAGTCACCTCTGTCCACTATGGATGTCATAAAGCTCACTGAGTCACGTTAAGGGAGAGGAAAGAAACAACGTAATTCAGGAGCACACAGATCACCCTCACCTGCAAATCTCCAACACAAGCTACCTTAACACGTGGCCTTTATTTGACAACAACCAACAACTCCTGTTTCCGAGTCTCAGTGAACACTTTGTTCGACTTAGCTGGTCTCCCGCGAGGCTCACCTCCCAGGGTACACAGGGTGGCAGATGCCATGCCCACGACCGTGCTCTCACACGACCTGCGTGGCAGGTGGCTGCTGCTGTGGTTATTATGACTTGTCCGTGACTGTATGGTCACGTCTGCTCATGGGCAGAGTGTCCCCAACCACACACACCACTTCCCATTTTCCATTTCTGTATTATGCACTAAGGGAGTAAGTTAACAGATGAAACATGGGAATGGGATTTACTAACTACCACACTAAACATCAAGGATCAAAAGGCTGAAGATACAATTGTGGCTTGGCAGTCATTGGCAGTGTGACCTTCCTCTGAGGTCCTTTACAAACCAGGGAGATTTTTCCTTTGTCCTCCCCTCTAAGAGCCCTGGGAGGCAGCGGGTGCCCGACAGGGGCCCTGGCAAGCACCACACACTGTGAGCTAAGTGCGCGGCTGGCTTCCAGCAGAGGACTCACATGCGACAGCTTATTGGGGGAATCTTTGCAACTTCCATCTTTCTGCAGGGCTCTTTCTTTATAGGAACTCAGGACTTTGGAAGGTGGGCCATGCCATTTGGTTTCTGTCACAAAAAGAGAGAAGAGTGGAGTTTCTAATTTCCAGTATTAGCAAAAGAGTAAAGAAAAACGGGGGTCGAACAAATGGGTTTGGGAAAAATTAACAGGAATGCAGTTCTGGGACGTTCTGGTTTTACCCACGGATATGTTGTCACCAGAGTAGAAAGACCACCATGGAAGTAAACGACACATTTTCGCAGGCACTGCCACACCACAACCAACCTGACCACACCCCTCCTGCACCAGGAGACTCCGCCGGTCCCCTGAGCCTGATGCACTCACCAAACGTAGCTGAATGAATGAATGAATGCATGCATGCATGCATGCAGGAGTGCTGGAGAGGATGGGGGCAGGGGAAGGTGGCGGAGGTGGTAGGTTCTGCCCAGGAGTGCCCTGTTACCCGGGTGTCGGCTTCCTTCCACCGTGTCCTCCCGCTCATGGGCTCCGTCGCACTCCACGGGGCCTGAGCTCTGGTGCTCCAGCAGCAGGGGAGACTGGCACCTGCGGAGAGCACAGAGCGAGCTGTCCTTCCCTGCCATGCCACCAGCAGCAGGACCACAGACGGGGAGCCCCGTCAGAAGCCACTTTCTGGCAAATAGAAATGCAGCATCTGATGGCCCAACCCTGCCGGAGAAGCTAAAAGCATCTGGAATCAGGGGATCTACTTTCACCACGAGGTCAACAAAGGTTTGGAATGACAGCCATTTACAGAGAAGAAAGGCTGTGAGGACAGGACTGTCCCAGGAGAGACGATGCCCCTGCCAGCTAGAGGTGCTCACTGGTTTTTTGTTTTGTTTCTATTTTGTGCCTAAAAACATGCACTGATACATCTTGAAATTAAATTTTGTAAGGAAAGAAAACATGATTAACTCTAGACTACATCCAAGTGGTCTCTGTTTTCAGAAAACCCAAAATAGGAAAATATAACCTTATGAAAGAAAGAAATCAAAGAAAACGTATTCACAGTACAAAGTGATCTTACTTACAGAATCCTGGTTACAAAGGTCCTGGTTTTTTTAAAGGTTTTTAAAAGTTTTTTCCATTTCTTAAAAAACACAAAACAAAACCCCAAATTGCCCTCTACTTTTAAAATGCAACTTTGAAGAACTGCATCTTTTATCTAAGGTAAGGGGCACATGGAACTCAGACTACAAATATCTCTAAGGAGAAAAGCGGGTGCTGGGGAGAGAGATTTCCCCCTGCACTCGTGCAAGTGGAGACACAGGCGTCCCTCGAGGTGGGGTCCCTCCCTTTGATCAGCTGTCCCCTCATCTAAGTTCCCTAACATGGCAGCGGTGTGGCTCTGTCACAAAGCAGCCACCCTGCCTCGGGGGCCAGAGTGGGCCACAGCTCAGGACATCACCGTGCCACCTCACCAACCCCTTCCCAGAGGCGTCACCTGGGCTGCTGCGCCCAGGGCCATGCACACGCCACCAGGGATGGCCCTGGGCTAAATGCACTCAGGCAACGTCCTTTGCTTCTCAATAGGAAGCAAGAAAAGACGCATTTCCCTATTTTGAGCAGAGTTCCCTTGTTGCAATTTAAGTGAGTGGTAACCTCCAAAGGCCACTGTCTGCAGAGTCCCCAAATCCTGGATTTTCGTGTTCAGAGAGCCTTCCTTTCCTTATCAAAAAGAAACAACAGGCAGGCTCAGAACATAGACAAGAGAGTGCTCCCTACCCAGAAACGACGAGCTTTCCAACCTGGACAAGTCACTTATAAAAGCATGACTGGCATTTTCAAATTCCACTGATGGCTGTGTGTACAGCAGGTGCACAGTAAATGCTTTTGAATGGGTCACAGAGAAAACGTAAAAAGGAGCGGTACCCGTCATAGGCCACTTGCGGTCTCCACGGTCCACTCCCGCCAGGTCCCGGGTCACTGGAGGACGACTGATTGCTGGGTGAGCTCCTGCAAGGTGGACCAGAATCGTTAGCAGCGCAGAGCATTCCGCCTGCACCTGACCTGGCCTGCTTTGTGTTATGAGTCAACTTGCTTCAACAATGACAAAGAAAAGAAAACAGAATGAACCACGGGTAAATAAACTGGAGTCATCGGTGCCGNGCCTGCACCTGACCTGGCCTGCTTTGTGTTATGAGTCAACTTGCTTCAACAATGACAAAGAAAAGAAAACAGAATGAACCACGGGTAAATAAACTGGAGTCATCGGTGCCGTGAGGTATCGGGTGGTTTACGGTTGGCAATTTGTCACACGAAGGAGTCGCCGCAGGTCGAGACTTTGCCATCAAAGATTTAAAGCACAGATAATGACCACCCCTCCCCAGCGGAATACAAAAGAACAGTAACACAACCCCCAGGAGCACAGAATTATGAAAACATTGCTAATTCTTGTTATATGAAACTTAACGCAAGTCACGTTTTGGTTCTATATTTAAAACCTATGAAGAGAGAAGAACCGAGATTTGGCAAAACCACTTATCTTCGCAGATCTACTGAATGTAACCCTATTTATTTTTTTCAGAAAATATCCTATCTGTTTTTTCAGACATGCAAAAATGAGTGATACTCATGACAACTCACTCGATGAAGATGTGTCTGCCATGTTGCTGGAGTCCCTGTGTTTTTTCCCATAGCAGACTAAAGTCCACTTCCATGGGGGAGGGTCTGCAGATGTCCCTCCTTCCAGACGGTGCGTGCTGTATGTGGCTCCTTACACTGGGGCTACCTGTGGATGTTTCTTTGGATGGCGGAGTTTATAAACTCAGAGCACCTTTGGGTAAGGAGACCCAGAGCCAAGGGGATTTAATGTCAAATTGGCCTTAATTGAACACCGTCCCTACGTTCACTCTGGAAAGAATGAACTGGAAAAGGCAGAAGCCTGGTTTGGGGCATCTGATGTATACAGATCCACCCAGTTCTCAGGATGCCCCTGTGCTATTACCACGTTTATTTGTCAGATGAGGAAACTGGAGGGTCATAGAGGGTGAGGACTGGGCCGAGGTCGGCGCACGTGCGCATGTTAGAGGCCAAGGGCACTCTGCAGCCCACAGCAGGCCACGTCCTGCTGAGGAAACCCTGCTGTCCTACAGCCTATAAGAATTAACAACAGCAATAAGACAAATTCACTGTGCCGTCCCCTAAAATGACCTGCACGAGTCAGGCATCCACACATTCCTGACAGCTTCTAGTCTATTGGATCTAACTTTAAACAAGTGCATTTTTTCCTTGAAAAACTCAATCGAAATTCAACTCGCTTTGCTTGCAATGACAGAGAAAGGCAAAGAGGAGGCATGGTGATTTTGGGACCACGCAGAGTGCTACCCTCATAATGGGGACGGGCCTGCATCACTCATTTTTGTTTTGTTCTATTGACACTCAGACCTGTTTACACTTTCCTGGTGGCTCACATGGAATCGCTTCTGGGGTTTCTCTCTCAGGACGGTGTGGAGTCAGTGGACAGGTGGGAGATGCCAGACGAGGAGGAAAGCTGTGGTCTTGGCGGGCAGGACCTGCATTCTTTCAGTGCCACTGGGGACCAGGAGGGGGCTGTACCCCAAGCACCCCTGCTGTGGGTCCGGCACTGCCCCCGTGCTAGACTCACTTGGAACAAGCTAACTTAGAAGCGATCGAGCCATGTCAAAGCCCCTCCTCCAGCCTCCAGTTCTACCCCGAGTCGCACAGGTGTGCCTTACCTGGTGCCATCGGGCAGCTTCCTGTCGAAGGAGGTGCTGCGTGGGATGGCGGCCTGGGCCTGCTGCAGAAGCTGCTGGCACTGCGGCCGGTCGGGTGTGCTGGGCGCGGGGGAGGCTCTGGACAGGGGCTGCAGGGCCGGCGTGGGCACCCGGTGCCACGTGGTGTTCCTCCGGAAGGGCGTCTTGTACTCGCAGGGGGTGCCCTGGCTGTCCAGCTTGTACTCCACCATGGGGATCCGGCAGAGCTCCAAACACCCTCTGTGGGGCCAAGGAGAGGTGGTGAGAAAGAGGCGGCTGAGCCATCGGCGTGGCCTACTCGGGGCCCCGCCACCAACACATGTGACACTGCACGTGCTTCCCAGGCTCCACCCAAGGAGCATCTCACCCACAACACAACCACGTCCCTCACTATTCAGTTCCTCTCTGCCAGCAGGTACTGAGTCCAGGAATTTAAAAGGCCATTTGCACCATCGCCTGGCTGCTGTGTGGCCACATGCGTCACCCAGGCTGCTGAAGAGGCAGGTGTCCCAATACGGCTGTACAGTGACTAAAATGCTCAGCCAGTGGCAGGGGACAGCTTCTGCCCCCAGGCCCAGAATACCCCGCACAACAGAGGCCTCTAGGGCTCTGGAGGTTACCAAATGTGTGAAATGTATTTCTGGAGACAACAAATACCATCTACAGTAATTAGAGTTCAAAAGCTTGGAGACATGAAACACCTTGCTCAGAGCTACATAGCAAGATCAACACCGGACCTCTGGTCTGCACATTCCTGCCCACGGATCCAAGAAATAAGACACCCCAAACCAATGCTAGTCACTTTGAGGAACGATGGAAACGCCCATCACTGCGTCTGCGGTGACCGCTTCACGCACGTGCCAGAACTCACCAAACGGCATGTTCTGTGCACACGCAGTGACCTCACGACATTACACCCCATAAGGCTGGAAGAAAAGCTTCACTGAATGGGAGTAAAGAGCTTCCTTCTGTCCAGACGCTTCTACTCTGCAAGAAAGGCTTTGCTTAAGCGCAGCACAGCAGCAGGCTGCCCGTCCGTGAGCAAAAGTACCAGGCCACGTGGCAAGTGCCATCGATGGCTTTAACCACAGTGGCGAGCGCAAGGGGTTGGCAGGTTCCAGCTGATCTCTCCGTTTTTCTTTCTCTGTCTGTCCTTCCTGCCCTCTACAGACCCCACACGAGACTCACCTTTCTCACTGACTTTGGGTCACACTTCCGTGCCCTGCCTGACGCTGGCCTACCCACCGTCCCTCCACAGTCCTGTGGCAGTGGCACCCCTGGGTGGCCACTGGGCACCCAGAATGGGCTAGTGTGACCGAGAAACAGAGTGACTTCATTTTCATTAACTTATATCAAAAAACCAACACTCGAGTTCAGTTTTTAAATTATGCTTAGAATAAACTCGGGTATGTGAATCTACTTTTTCAACTATAAATTTTATGACATCTAAGCCAAGCACGGACTGGAGGTGAAAATTTAATGTCTGAATCGAGATATGCTGTAAGTGCAAAATTCACCTCAGAATTTGAATTTGAAGACCTAATACAAAAATAATAATAATAATAATAAT